GAATCAAACGTCTCTTAAAACTTTTGTTCCTTAGAGATGGAGGTGACATCCACAAATAACTCTGCGGATGTTCCTTGGGGACTCGGGTGATGTCCAAAATTAAAATATTTGTTAAAACTATTTGTTTTTTGATCATTATGGGACTAGTTTTAAAATGTGCGCCTTTAGATTGCAAACCATTTGATATCAGAATGAATGACGTAGCTTGAAAATTGAGGTGAGGAAACTAAACAGAGTACAGTACAACCTCGATTCAACGTATCCCGATTCAACGAATCTCCGGCTAGTTTGCACACTTTTCAGGCTGGATTTACTCATCAGGTGCGATGAACAATGGTTCGCCAAAGCGGGGGATGTTTGGATTTGCTTACGATGTCGAGACAGAGTTCACAGACTGGTGAAAAACTTTCCCATTCTATCACAGATTACAATTAATAATTCCCTCATATGACAAGTTTGATCACACAAGTGGACCGCACAAGCGGCCCACAAGCTTACGATGTTGGGACAGAGTTTACAGAGTTGTGGAAAACTCTCATTCTATCACAGATTACAATTAATAATTCCTTCATAAGACAAGTAGGATCACACAATTAAGTGGACCACACAACAAGTGAAGCATATTAACCAATCACCAGCCAGAGTGGTCCACACACATGAACGACTGAGTTTCTATGATTTTCGTTCGCTGATTTGTGGCACACGTATCTTTATAAATTAATTTAAAGGCTGAAGCGTAATTAACTAGCTACATGCGGTAAAATCTCTTTATAGACATTTTCTGTGATGAAACAAGGTGAGTGAGGGTCGACAGATAAGGGAATACTGTACTGTAAACCTCACTTGGTTTTCCTTCGTCTGTGTCATCATAGTTCAGTGACCCATGACTTTGAAAGTTTCAGATTAATAAATCACTTCTAAAACCAGTGTTTTAATAGCATTTTTATTTTCCTAATTAAACTAAACTAAACTAAATAAAACCGAAAATATACTGTAATATGATTGACATCTCCTATTTGAGAAATTATTTATGTTATTGAAACAACTACTTCAGCGCAAAGGGACAGGTCTAATCCTCGTACACACAGCACCATGCGTGTTTCGTTCGATTTCATCGCCACAATTCAGTGACCTATGGCCTTGAAATAATAAAATAAATAAATCAGTTCTAAAATAAGTTCTTTATCTTTTATTACTGTAATAATGTTACCAAACTAAATATATAACCTAAAAAATATAATTTGATGTAAATCCAGTATTTGAGAGAAATTTATGTTACTGGATCTGGCTTAAACACCAGCCTACTGCAGGGTGTATAGACCTAGTCTGCGTTCATACAGTACGCACCCAGTGCTGTTAGCTTTGTCTGCGAGTGACGTGTTTGTCTGCTGGTGGAAGAAGAGGAATTATACAACAAGATGTCTCAAGGGCTTGCTAATCGTGATGCATCAAAACACTTGCTAATTAAAGCACATTTTTCCACGTGCTTTGAAAAAGTTAATGAACAAGCTACCTGTGGTCTTCTACAACTCTAAAAACAGCTTGATTTACTGGAGATATTTTTGTAGACTGGTTCAAAAATCATTTTTGCAAAGAAGTAAGAGATTTTCAGATAAACAAGTGTGGAGCGAGGCAGAATGATGTCAAGGCATTACTCTTGGTTGACAATGCCCCAGCTAATGTAGAGCTCGACACATTAGCGTCAATTGATGGACTCATCGAATGTATGGCCTTGCCTCCAAATACCACCTCTCTGAGCCAGCCAATGAATATGGGTGTTATATATGCAATGAAAAGGCTCTACAAACGAGCAATGAATAAAGAAATCACGTGTGCCGACGCATTGTTCCGTGTTGAAAAACTCCTTGATATTGTTTCACAAAATGACAATCCAGAGCTACCAGGCTTTTATCAACACCTAAGAATGATGAAAGATGTGTGTCAAGGACATGACAAAAGGAAGGAAACAAACGAAAATGAGTCAATATTTTTCACGAACTAGTAGCAGAAAATCAACCAGCACAGCCATACCCAGCACCAGCACAGCCGTACTCAGCACCAGCACAGCTGTACCCAGCACTAGCACAGCTGTACCCAGAACCAGCACAGGTGTACCCTGCACCAGCATAGAAGCAGCTGATGCCAACACAGCAGCAGCGAGCACCAGCAAAGCTGAGGCAAACATCTAAAAACATCATGTGTGAAGTGAACAATTAGAAGAAGTGTTAAATTTAAGTGTGTACATAGTGTTAAAATTAAAGTTGCAGTAATTTTAGTGTATAATAGTTTTCATAAACTGTATTGTAGTACTCAACATACAGCAAAACTACTTAACCCTTTAACTGCGTGGCCTATAAATACGACACCCCCCCCCCCAGTGCACAAGAAATAAATTCTCGGGAAAAAATTATTTTTAGTTCTGAAAGTGTCAAAAACCCCTCCCTCCCTTCTGGTACAAGGTCCAGAAGGTGATAAAAACACAATGTAGTGTAGCAGCATAGTATTTTGTATGGTGAGATGATAAAGCAAAGTACTGCCTGTACCACTGTCTTTATCACTGTCAAAATCATCTGTCATTTACAATCATATATTTATCCAGATTTTTATTAATTTCATCATCTGTAAATGAAAATATTGACTGAGCTGCAAGACTGGGTTGGGAGCTTGACCCACATTTACTACTCATAGTTGCCATCTTAAAACTACTTGCCTGTATGTAACCAAGGTGACATACTCACAATTTTTGTCCAAAATGGAGTCTATTTACTAGAAGCCTCAGGAAGTGAATATGAGCCACAGTTACCATAGGAGTTTCAAATATTGGTTGTACCTAAATACATCCCTGGTTGTGATGCGCACCATTGGTCAAACATCCCTGGTTGTGATGCACACCATTGGTCAAACATCCCTGGTTGTGAAGCACACCACTGGTAAAACATCCCTGCTTGTGATGTGCAATTGAGGGATTAAATGCCTACCAAAGAACAAGAAATTCCCTCAGAGATGTTAGGAGTAGGGGATTCATCATCACCTCCACTGAAGAAACAAAGCCCCAGAAAGAAAGCAAAGCAAAACCAGATGGCTACAAAGTTCCTAGAAAGTAAACAATGCAGCAAATGGTGCAGCAAATGATCCATCAGTAGTGTGGCCATCCATCCCAGAGTAACAGCTGACAATCACCAGGTGGCCACAGCATAGGAGCTGTTGGCCCCCAGTGTCAAAAATCCTTAGTCCAAAGCCAAAGAAAAATCAAACTGATGCACTAGATATCGGTAAAATCCTCCCCCCTCCCCTCAGAAAGAGGTGATTCATTACATTCAACACTGGTTTTCTGGAAAAGCCACAAAAACTGGACACACCGGAGAAAGAGTGCGAAGATCAAATCCCAGAAGGGAAGAGACCATGAGAGAAACCATAACCAAGGCAACACAAGCTCGAAGGAGACCAGAAACACTGAACAAGTAACAAGCTGCCAGAACCCCAGGAAACCTCAAAAAATTCTTGAAGCCCAGAGAAGTGCCCAAGACAAAATAGAGAATATAATATAGCACACAAAGCTCCAAGCTTCCAAATAAAATGGGCTTCCTGTTGAAAAAGAAGCTGGCTGGAATCCAGGGTGACCTGGACTGCACCATCTGGTAGCAGTCAGAAGCATAAAGTATAGGGTTACTCACTGTGGCAATGATTGCCTACCTCATATGTCTTAGGGCTCATTTTTCTCTTTCAAGCAGTTGCTTGCTTTATTTGATCAAACCCTCTTAGTGTGCTTTTTCTTGATTTTTTAAAGATCTGATTCCCAAGCTGCCTTCACTTTTGTAGAGAGCCAGATTCTGGTGTTAGCTCTTGATAGATCAGTGCAGGTTTCGGAGGCCTCGGAGGAGACTTTGTTATATCAGCCTGTAGGCTCCACTGTACTACTGAGGGAGCCCTCAAGAGTAAACAATGATTGTTTCCCCAGAAAGTTTAAATAAAAGAAATAAGGCTATATTACTTCAATCATACCCAATAAATACAGAATACTGTGGAAACAAAGCTTTAGTTTGGTATGTGCTTAAATCACACCGATACATTTGTAAAAGTAATAAATGCAACAATGATTAACCCAAAAACATCTCTGAAATATCTTGCTCTTTCAGAACAAGAATAAATATGATTGCAATTTGATTATCTAATCATGTCTACACAAAAAATAAAAACAGGCTCTAAATCATCTAAAAAGCAAATTTCCATGCCAAATCTTACCTTAGATTACCAGGAATTTAAAGGACAACTTACAAAAATGGCACGACTTCATTTAAACTAAGATCTATTAGAATCAAATATCACTGTATAAAACATATAAGCTTAATTGTTAGAATACTATAAACAAGCTTGTGTTTGCTGAATTAACTAAAAATGATGGGAGATACTCGTACAGTATTTAATTTAAAAAATCAATAATTTTATATTGAGACTAATATATTGAATCTTACATGACAAACAAATACCAAGGCAAAATGCTGAAGGCTCTTAAATATAACATTATGAACACAATTACAGTATAATTAAATTAATAAATCCATAACAGAAGTGCAATTATGAATACCAGTTTGCAAGAAAGTATCCCAGATCTTTGTATTTATTAAAACATGTACAGTATATACACAATTATTGCAGCCACAGCTGATTATTGTATTAGATGAGATGTTTGCAACACAATGTAAGTACAAAAGCCTCCCAACAAATGTGAAATGCACTGAATTAATTCCATTCAAATCTGCCAATATTAGAGCAATACCTGCAATCCTCAGATGAAAATGAAGGTAAAGAGTGCAGTTTAGAAGGCATAGACTACACTGTGCAAGATGAGCAAACAAAGTTAAATTCAGCCTAAAAACTGATATGATTGCAGGTGCAAGTTATGCAGTGTGAGAGAAGAAAGGCACCAATCTGAGTTAGGTTATGATCTGACAGGGTTGAAAGACTGGGGCACGGTGGGTGGGCTGGGGCATGTCATTTACCTGGGAGCCGGGCAGAGATCCCCCCGAGAGTCGTCGATCATTCATGTACTGGTACATATGGGAAGGAGACATGCCAGCCGGGGCCTATCAAAACACCAACACCATAAGAAATCCCAAGAAGTGATTCCACATTTCCCAAGGAATATTTGCATTGCAAGAAAGTCGTGAGGGAGATTCATAACTCAAGGAAGAGTGCATCTATACAAAGTTTAGTGCACAGCTCAATATCCTTCCAAACAGTGAAGATTTCTTACGTGAAAATAACCACTATTCCTACACTCAAAAATAAATCTTATAAAACAATAGGCTTTTTTGTGCAATGAAGAAAAAGAATCAGTATATCTTAGAATAATGTAAGGAAGCCAAAACTCTGAATAAAAAATAAATTCACATTTTCATACTAAATAAAAATACTGTCTAGGGAAAAGAATAAAAATCACACTGTCATATTTAAATACAATAATCAAAACCATTTTAAGAAAGATATAAAACAGTGAGAGATATATAGCTGCTAACTGGCATGATGTCAACGACATCCTCGGCACACATAATTCAGCAAGTGTGAATCACTATGTAATACAACAAAACAAAAGCAATAATCATAAGCCATAACATAACCACAGAGAAACAAAGTAATGCTATCTAAGAAATGGTTTCATGCAAGCAAAGAAAAGACTAAAACTAGTAGAATTTGGAGGAAACTGAGCTATGTTTTCATCTTCTAATTTAAGGGCACAATCTGTTACATTTCCACTCATAATGAAATGAAGGAAATACATTATTTCAAGTGACTTTACGTTGTTTGGAAACATTATTTAGAGGGCACACTTATTGCATGTGAATGCTGGCAAGAAAATGTGGGTTATGACCAGAGGACAAATACCAACATTTCTTCAAACATCAAGCAAATGGACTTAAAAAGAAGTTCACTATTGCTGCTGAATTTGTTATTTTGGTTTGGCTTATTTTTATTACAGAATATCATGACATCACAGACAGCAATATTAATGAACAAACTGTGACAGATGTGGGAGCTAATTTATGGATCTTTTATGCACTGTGGTCAATATCCCTCTTTGAAATAGCTGCATGCCTCTATGTTGTGCACTGAAGACAGATATTACAGGTGATGCTGTAAGAGCAGTGCTTAGGATTAAAAACTACCCCTGAGAGACATAATAACACTGTTCTGGTACACTAAAAATAATTCCTTTCATGAAAAGTCATGCATGAATGCTATATTCTAAAAAGGAATACGCATCCAGGCACTAACTTGCATAATGGATGTCTTCATCTTGGACAATGAAATTGATTTTTATTAAGTACATGAGCAAATTACTTAAATCAATTTTTTGCCATGCCACAAAAGATATCTTTAAATTTATAATGAAAGAAGTGTCATAGTTAACATATGTACAATCTCATTCTTTTCAGAGTAAGACATCCTTACCTACATGTGAAACCAATTAAGAGGTTATGGTCACTCACAGTGTGGTATTTTTGAAGATAATCACGAGACGGTGAATGATGAGACTTGGGAGTAGACCGACCAGAAATAGGAGGAGAAGGGCGTTCTATGGACCGTCCTCGGAGCATCATGTGTTCTACACTACCCACTCGAGATTCTAGCTCTTCTGCCCGTGCCTCTGTGGTTTGTTTCTCTTCCTGAATTAATCTGTACACAATGTGATCTAAGTCAGTCTCACAGATAATGCACAAAGGTATAATCTGATCCAAATATTAGCACAAAACTAGCTGTAACACAATTTTTACCTTCATAAAAATCATCCATAGCTTGGACATACTGTATTTTGAAACTAAGATTTAATTTGCACACATATCAAGCTCACACATTTGATATTCTAATTCAACTTGTCATGCACCTGCTTTGCTGTTCAGACAGGGTTTCCCACGATGGGGGGGGATGGGGAGAGATCATTTCCCAATAAGCCTCTGTCCCTCCCACAGAACCTCTTGTCCCCCCCATAAGGTCGCTGCATGAGAGGAAGACCAAATGATAAACTATAGAGCAACATAACAAAAAAATCAAATATCAAGCACCCAACTCAATATCATAAGACAAAAAATCAGGCATTGACTGTAATGAAACGCCCATTTCTGGTGTGCCTCTAGTAACTCTCCAAGCTTAATCCTAGTACCACCGAGTCATAGATAGCATGACACATCTGGCCTATGAGACTCGTCTGTAACATAGCAGGAGCCAGAATCAGGTTCATTCTTAAGAGGTGAAAAAGCAGGCAATCAGAGAAAGCTCAAAACTGGGAAAACTTATCAGAAAGCATAGATTCAATAATCTATCAATCATAGATGCAATAAAATAATCAAGCACCCTTTGGTAAACAAAGTAAATGATTGTTGCAACAGATTAAATACCATGAGTGTGAGGTATCTGACCACAACCAGATGGCCACCAAGGTCACGCAAGGTCCCAACCAGTATGCCCCTTCACTCTAAAGTTGGTCATGCAAAACTCAACAACCCCTGGGGAAAAGATGGGAACAGGGTAGGGCAGGGCAGGGCAGGGCAGAGCAGGGCAGGGCAGGGAAGCCACTAGGAACCCACCAGAAAAAAAGTATTTCATTACACTGAATGCTTTTTTTCTGAGATGGATCCCTCAGAATTTACCTCGGCTTGCTCACAATGGTATCTTGATAAATGGCTTTTCCGAAAAACAGATCAAACAGACTGGGATGACCTGTGAAAAAAGAATGGCAGTTGCGTACGGCCCAGAGCAAAGAGCATTAGCTGAGCACCAAACACTCAACTGCACACAAATGTGACAAGACTGAAAGATGCCCAACAAAGAATGAGAAGCCACAAGAAACAAGATTGGTCAAACATCAGCTGCAAACAAAACAGCAAATCACCACACATAGCCAGATCAGGGACGACAGCAGGTTGGCTGGATTGAACAGTCAAGCAGAGGACTTGGGTAAGGTGGCCCATGGCACAAAGGATGCGAGAAACTAGAGCAACAGAACCTTAACAACATGACACGTGCAAAAATGATGCAAAGTTGCTTCAAACAAAATCACATAAGTGACTCGACCAGAGATTAAAGAATGCCCATGACAGCTGGTAAAAGAGATGAGAGCACTCCTACTTCTGCCCTAAATGCCAGCATGAAAAGTTCAGCTGAATGAAATGAGGCAATAGTACAATGTAAGTAACAACCGGTGAATCAAGAAGAGCTAAGACAGAAAAGACAACACTAGTGGCAACAGACACAAAGGTAGACATCAAAGAGGAACAAAAGATATATCTATGAAGCCACCATACAGTGCCGCCAAAAAGACAAAGACACCAATGCGGCACCAAGAAATCCACCCTCTGACTTGGACACAGAGGTGAAACAGGAAGAGATGAGTGATGTGAACACAAACAGATGTGTGCCAGAAGCAAAATATGTTCCAATCAAAACCAGTAAGGTGGCAAACAGATGAAAGGTCTGGGTGATGCAAAAGCAACAGAGAAAGTTGGCCAAGATTGGGTCACAAGTATTGACAACCAAACACCTAAATACTTCCTGAAAAAAAAAGTACGTAATCAGTATCCACACCACATGCAACATATGAGCTCATGAAGGTGGCAAGATCAAAACTCGAGTCCAGCGCTGATAAACAGTACGCAACAGAGAAGGGACTCCAGAACCCAGCAGGCCGAATGAGAGGTACGTAGCAGGAATGGTCAACAAGATCTATAAACCCCATCTTGAGAAATGGTAAATAGCAGATGAGAAAGCCACAACAACCCTGATAAAACATGTACAGACAATAAACACTGGCACAAGTCCCCCAATAACTCTAAAAGTCACAGATGCCATGGATCACAATATTCATGTATGCAACCCAAGCAACCTCTCAGCAAAGATGAAAGGCCACTAACACCCACAGAAGCAGGACCAGCATGAGACAGATCTCTAGTGTCACAAGCACAGTCTGAGGATCTTAATTCAAATAATTTGTTCATTTTATTAATTAAGACGATTGTCTTCATCCCATAGACAGCCTTGCAGAGAAGAATAAGTATCATGCACTGCCCAGAAGCAAGAGACTCGAGACAAGTTAGCTCATGGAGAAAGCAGCCTGTAACTTCTTAGATCAGGAATTTCTAGTGGGATTTAGGGAAATAAGTCGACCCCAGGAAAAGCTACATTGACCTTGGTCAGATCAAATTGGAATGCTACAGAATAAGCAATCTGGGTGGCACAAACACAATCATGAGGGATAAATAACTCACTATCAAAGCAATGGCACCAAATAAACATAATATTCCATGGAAAGCCATCTTTATTTGGTTAAATAGCAAGAAGAGGGTGCTTAAAAAACTGCAGGTGATGGGCCAAGCAGAGACTGCAAGTGATGGGCTGATAACACCAGGCAGTAAAAGTTAAGGGGGCAGACTTGCTGATATCTAAGGTAACTTGGGTCGCCATCTGACAGTGGTCATGACCATCACAGTCATGGTATTTACCCCTCCACAAAAATCATTTACCTTTTTTGCCTTGGGGCGACTAATTTCCTTCAGGAAATTACTTGTATTGTTACACCAATAGGTTCTGGTGGGTTTTCCTCAGTTTTGTGTTTGATTTCTGACCTCCTACTCCCCTCACCTAGTAAGTAACTACAGGTCTCAAGAGATCTGTATTTGCCTTAGTGCAACCTATGTTGGGCTAAGGATTGGTGGTACTGGAATTAAACTTGGGGAGCCACTGAAGGGCTCACTCCCAGAAAAGCCAATACTCTTGAGATGCCAATGAAGCAATAAGAGTAAGTTTATAATCAAGTCAAATTTATTTCAATTACTCACAAGAACAAATCCACAAATCCATGCATCACGTTATTGTGATCTCTGTGTGTGATACTCACAAGACTTATAATACATTTTTACAACTAAAATAAATTTTGCCCAGACCCATTCATTAAAATCAGAACTGACTATTCCATTGTGAACAATTACATGTGACCCCCATATAAATTTACTACGTACTGTATCTACAGGAAACCCTGCCAGTTGTTGCTCCAGGGTATATCTAAACATTCTAGATAGTTGTCGTCTTTAGCATTATAAATTTTACAAAAATAAGAATGAAGTCAAGTGATGTACAGTACATAGTTGACTCCCAAGACTATGCAGCATTTAACTACTACTGCGATGAATGTTACATGTTAACACTCGCCTAAACGTAACTGAGGCACCATAAAATGTGAAAGGATTGCACAAGTGAGAGAAAAGGCTGATGGCTGACTGGCTATTTTGTCTGTTTGCATCATGTCTACTTTCATTTTATTCAGGTACTCCTGTTTCCCTATATTTCCCTTCCACCCTCCTTCCTTCCCTCTTCTTCCTTTCCCCTGTCTATCCCTCTTTCTCCAGTACAGGAAGGGTTAAAGTTCATGAGTCAGGCTTGGAAGTAGTAAACACCTAGGAAACTAGGGATCATGTAAGTGCCAATTAGGGTGACACAGACACCTAATTGAATTTTTTTGTCTCCTCACAGTGCTGATAGCATTGTTGGGTCAGGGATCACCCAGTTCTCTCTCTTATTGCTTTACTTTGGAGGGAGTATTGGACAAAAGAAGCTCCCCCCGAGGGGGGAAGGAGGGAGCCCCGGACCTCACCGCGCCGGCTACATAGCACTCCAGTTTGGATGCTAAGCTTCAACAAACGCGAAAAAACTGCCAACCGGTGGGAAGGAGGGTTCCCAGGGAGCCTCCGGGTTACACCCAGAAAATGGCGTTTCATTATATTCAACACTGGTTTTCTGATGGGAGCCCCTACGGCTCCCTGGAGCTACATACCCAAATAGAAGGAAAATAAAGGGCTGACTCAGGAGGCGGCCCCCACAAACTCCGAAACGCAAAATCGAGACAACAGGCTGCAACCTGTGACACAAAGCAACACAACAACGCCCAGGAGCAGACACGCTCATAAAATAATGGGCGACCAGGACCCTGTGCGACCTTCAAATCCCCACGCCCCGAATATGAGCCAAAGACATGTTACCAAACACGGCAGCAAAGCTGCAAACGGCCGAACGGCACAGGCGCGAGGATAGACCGCAGGTTGGTTAGACTGAATAACCCTGCAGACGACCTGGGAGACCAGAACCCTGGAATAGGGAATGAGGGAAACCAGAACAACCCAGAGCGCATCCCCAGCCACCACAACCGAGGCACCTAGGTAAAGGCGAAGAGCCACAACCAACAACACACAAAGCACCCCCGGCCGAACCAACCAAGCATCAATAACCCAAGGACCCCTCCGGAAAGCAGCTGTCTCGGCCTTCACCAGAAAAGATGGAGAACGCTGCAAACATACAAACCTTCCACCAGTAACCAAAAGAGCAGAAACCCCTGCACCGGAGGAGAGGCAGAAGCGCCCCAACTCGACCCCCAGAGGCCATTTCCAACCAAAACAGGGTCGTGGAAAAACAATCTTGAACCGAAGATGTTACCACAAACCGAGGAGAGGAAAGATAAGAGAGCACCCTGACCAAGGACCAGGACGACTCAGGCAGCACATGAGCAGGCCGGAGGTGAAACAAAGCTTGAGAAAGCGTACAGAACGGGGCGGATGTGATGTCCACCCCGAACACAAGCTGGAGCGACTCCTCCAGCGCCACATGATATGAGGCAAGAGTAAGAATCATCAAATGACGGGTCCTGAAAAACCAAGAAAGGACAAGACAACCCGATGCGAAAAGGAAGACAACCTACAAAGAGCAAGAAAATGGGGAAAAGAAATGCCAGGAAACTTCATACGGTCGCAGAGACAAAGCTTGCAGATAGGACATCATCAATGAAACCACCTGATCACCATAGAAATTGTGATACACCCGCATCAAAAGACCAGACGCGAAGACCCGAGGAGAAGGCCGAACAAGCCACGTACAGCACCGGTCCGACCAACCGAAAGAGGCGGAGCCGCGGGAAATGCCTCGGGTTTGGACACCAATGAAGAAGCGTCTGAA